TGTTGTAGGATACGCAGAAAGGGGAGGGAGGGACTTCGTGTAATGCAGTGTGCAAGGGGCTGGGACTTTCTGCTCTGGGGGGGTCACCTTGGGCACAACTTCCCATAATGTAATTTGCAAGGGGTTGGACTTCCTGCTCTAGGCTTCTGTGGGGGAGGGACTTTGTCCTCAGCCATTGGGAATGCCCTGGCCCTCTGCCTCCAAGGTCAGGAGGGGGGGGGGGGCACGGTTGGCATGACCCCGCCCCTGTCCCGCCCCCAGACCGGCTGAACCGGGAGTCGGTGCAGCGCATCCAGCGCAGCCTCTTCACTGTGTGCCTGGACGCGTCCGTGCTGAAGGTGTCGGACGAGCGGTTCCCGTCCCGCGTGGCTGCCCAGATGCTCCATGGTGGCGGCAGCTGGTCCAGGAGTGGCAACCGCTGGTTTGACAAGGCCCTGCAGGTGAGGTGGGGCCAGCGGGGGTGGGACTTCCTGCTCAGTGGAGGCAAGACTTCCTGTCTGGGAAGGCGGAATTTCTTGTCTCGGATGACAGAAAGATGGGACTTCCTGTTCTGGAGGCCAGGACTTCCTGTCTTGGACTATGGAAAGGTGGGACTTCCTGCTTTGGGGACAGGGACTTCCTGTCTTCAAATGAAGGAAGGTGGGGCTTCCTACCTTGTGAGGGCTGAAGCTTCCTATCTTGGATTGTGGAAAGTCGGGACTTCCTCCCCGCGGGATAAGGGAGACTTCCTGCTTTGGGAGTGGCTGGGGAGGCGGGACTTCCTGTTTTGCAGGAAATGGAAAAACTGTTTTGTACCTTCTTCCCTCCCTCCCCCATTCTCTTGCCCCCAGTTCATTGTGGGAGAGGATGGTGTGTGCGGCGTGGTGTACGAACAGGCTGTGGTGGACGCACAGCCAGTCGCCACCATTGTTGACCATGCCCTCGAGTACTGGTATGGGCACTTCCTGCTGGGGGGGAAGTAGGCAGCACTTCCTGTTTAGTTAGTTAGGGGAAAGGGGTGGGATTTACCCCCACAGGGGCAGAAAGCAATGTGGTTTCCTTGTTTGCTGGGGCAGTGGGGTAGGAGAACAGCTGGACTTCCTATTGGGGGGGCTGGACTTCCTGCTTCTGTGGAGGGAGGGGAAGGGGGTGGGACTTCTGGGGGAAGACAGTCAGGTCTCCTTTTCTGTGGCACAAGACTTCCTGTTTGGGGGTGGGACATCTTGTTTTGGGGGACCAAAGGGGGTGGTCTTGGCTTGTGGGGTTCAGGCTGCCGGCCCTGATCCTCCCCGTCTCCCCACACCCACAGCAAGAACCCCGACATGCGCCGTGCTCCCATGACACCCCTGCCCCTCCCCCGCAAGCTCTACTTCTACATCACCCCCGAGATCAAGCACGACATCGAGAGGGCCAAGTGTAACCTCGACATGTGCGGAGGGGCTGCGGGTCGGGAGAGAGGGGTGCTGGGAGGGCAGGGGCTGTGGGTCGGGAGTGAGGAGCACTGGCAGGGCTGAGGAGTAGGGGGCTGCGGGTCAGGAGTGAGGGGCACTGGCAGAGCTGGAGAGGGAAGGGGGCTGTGGGTTGGGAGTGAGGGGCACCAGCAGCTGGTACCACATGGGGCCCCTTCCCTATGCCCTGTT